ATGAAGTGTGACATTTTATCCCTGTAGCCACAGGAACATTTCCCACATTTAAGTGATAGAGGGAAAATTCTTCAAATTAGATTTGAACTTTATATCTTCTAATTCTGCTGCAATCCTCCTCCTCCATGTACCACGCTCGGGCCTGATGAACACACTGTTATATCAAAGTGTAACAGACCTGAGTGCTGACAAATCCCCTTCACTTAGCCTGGAAGTAAGCAGCAAACCTCCTGGAGATCCAGGAGTCAGTGTTAACTGGGAAAAATGACCCAATCACAAGGCTAAATGAAATGGTCAGTGCAGCCCAGCTGGCAGAGCCACCCCTCCTGGATGTCACCATGAGCAGGAAGCCAGCACTTGAGGCCACAAGGGTGACCCCAGCCCCCAAGGTTTGCAAAGGGCCACCTAGAGCTCCTTTAAACACTTCCATCCAAGCCTAAAGGAAAACCAAATACCCACCTGCAAGGAAGTCATGGTCAGAGGGAGGGAGCAAACCTCCTACAAAGGTGGGCTGGGTGAGTGGGGGTGTTCACCTGGAGAAGAGAAAGTTCCAGGGAGATCTCAGAGCCCTGAAGAAGCTCCAAGAGATCTAAAAAGGGACTTTGGACAAGGGCCTGGAGCACCAGTGCATGGGGGAATGGTTTTAACCTGAAAGAGGGCAGGATTAGGTGGGATAATGGGAAGGAATTGTTCCTGTGAGGGTGGGCAGGCCCTGCCACAGGTGCCCAGAGAAGCTGTGGCTGCCCCTGGATCCCTGGAAGTGCCCAAGGCCAAAGTGGACAGGCATTGGAGCAGCCTGGGACAGTGGAAGTTGTCCCTGCCCATGGCAGGGGGTGGGATGGGATGATCTTTGAGTTTCCTTCCAACCCAGGCCATTCTGGGATTCTGTGAAGCCCTGAGCAACACCTCCCCAGGCTTGCCCATCACAAGGTCCTACTTACTTTCCAGATTCACAGGTTTGCTGTGCAACTCAGCTGTAACCAGGTCCCCATTTGAGAACAGTTGTCCTGCTGTAACTGCCATCCTTCAGGATGAGGAGAACCCACAAGGATCATCAGGTCCAACTCCTGGCCCTGGACACCCCAAAAATCCCACCCTGCGCCCAAGAGCCCCTTCAGAGGAAGCTGCAGACCCCAGGGAGGTCTGACCTCTGTCTCCTCCAGGCTGAACAATCCAAGTGCCCTCAAGCTGCTCCTTCCCTATCTTCTGTCTCTCCTTTGAACACCCTCTAACAGCTTTAGATCTTATCTAAAGCTGCCCCAGCCCAGAGCAGAGAGGACAGTGCCCTCCCTGGCCTGGCTGGCACTGCTGGGGTGATCCCCCAGGACAGGGATGTCCCTCCTGGCTCCAGGCACTGCTGACTCAGATCCAGCAGGCCACAGACCAGCACTGCCAGATCCCTGCTGCCGTCTCCCTCCCCAGTGTGTCCCTGCCTCCAGGGCTGCCCCATTCCAGGTGCAGGATGCAGCACTGTTAAGTTTCACACAGCTGGGGAGTGCCCAGCCCCACAGAGCACATGGCACACTTGCATCCCAGGCTGTCACACCCTGTGTCACACCTGTGTCACACAGCAAACAGAATGCTGGACTCCCAAGTGCTGGCCCAAGCCTCAGCCCACCCCGGATAGAGGAGGAAGCCCTGGACCCACAGCTTCTCCCTTTGCACCTCTCTGGGCCAGCAGCACTCAGGAAAAACCCATTCCACCTTCCACCCTGCACCCTGAGGGACAGCCCAAACCTCTGGAAGTGCTTTGAAATACAAGTTGCAAAGACAAAACATAATTCCCATTAGGTTGCTTGCTTTCCCTAAGCCCTCCTCAATAACAGACAGGTGCACTAAGCTCTTTGCCAGGGAGCCTCGTTGAGAGGAACAAGACCCTCCAGTTTTATGTTTTACGCCCTTTGTAAGCTCATAGTCACCTCTTAAGCTCGTAATAAAAGATTTTTTTTTTCAAAAATGATGGCACCTAGTTTCCAAGGCAGCGGGACTTTTAAGCCTGTGTTTGCAAGAGCCTGAGGAATTAGAGATGCCAAAAGGCACAGGCTGTACAAAACCCATCCCCTGTTCCTGCTGGATAGATCAAATAACACTTGGAGTTTTTAATGCAACACGAGCTGAACGAGGAAGTGGCCAGTGATGCTGTACAAAAAATGTACAATGAGTGGGATAACAGCTACAAATCCCTTTAATCTCTGGTCTTACCTCGACATCTCAGACTGCTTGGAGCCTGCAGGGATTATTGGAGATGTGTGATTCCAGAATGGAAAGAGGGAGATGCTTCATGGTGATCAATGACCATGAGTGGTCTGCTGGACCTCAGCTGCAGTGAGCACAGAATCATTTTGGTTGGAAAACACCTCCAAGATCATCAAGTCCAACCTGTGACCAATCCCCACCTCGTCACCTAACCCCAAGCACTGAGTGCCATGTCCAGGAAATCCCTGGACACCTCCAAGGATGGGGACCCCACTGCTGCCTGGGCAGCCCCTTCCAAGGCCTGAGCACCCTTTCCATGGAGAAATTCCTGCTGCTGTCCACCCTGAGGCTGCCCTGGCCCAGCCTGAGGCCTGTCCCTGTTCCCTGGAGCACAGCCCGACCCCCTGGCTGTCCCCTCCTGTCAGGAGCTGTGCAGAGCCACAAGGGCCCCTGAGCCTCCTTTGCTCCAGGCTGAGCTGTGGGGACACCACAGCCCAGGCAGACCTGTGTCCTTTCACTACAAATTACTGAAAAGCTCAAGGAGTCAATTGGAACCCTGTTGGAAACCAGAACATCTCCCACTCCCTGCTTTCTCCTTTTATAAATGTCTATTTTCTTAACCAAATGTCTAATTTCTAAACCAATTACTTACTCTTAGTCATCCACAGCTCCCATTTCAGCTCAAAAGCAGGCTCCTTTCCCATGGAAGAAAAAATAAAAACCAACTCTCCTCATTTCATAATTAATTTTTCTTCATGACTTTTCCCAGCAACACAACTCATTTTTTTTCCCAAGTTCTCTATGAACTGATGAAAATGAAAATCCCCTCAGCCTCCCTGCACGCTCTCATGTGCATCACTTCTTTGTAGCTTAATTTCCCATTTTTAAAAGGAAGACATTTGCTTTCCTCCAAATTTTTTTAGGGGGGGGGGAGAGTGGAGAAGGCAGGTGGGGAAAGTGAGCAATAAATATTATTTCATCATTAATACAATGACAATCTTGTGCACTGTGACACCGAGGTGCTAACAGAGGGCAATAAATTCACATTAATAATTAACATCCACATCATATCAAGCCATCTTGGTGCTCTCATTTCAACTGCTTCAGAAATCTTCCTACTTCTTTATTGCAAACACATGCAATAGGTCGATCAGTCCTTAAAGCCACACACGCTGATGGAGACAGCACTGCTGGGACTCTGCAGGTAAAACTTTTGGCTGAAAAAAGCACAGTTTGGCATCAGAAGTGGTGAACAGATGCCAGCACCAATGGAAATAAAAATGCAAAGTTCCTATTTGGGCTGCAAAGACTGGAATATTTTATTTAAAAAGGAATAAAATACAAGTTACTTACTGCTTTTGAGACCCTCCTGACCTGCACGTGGATGAGGATCAGGCACTGGAAGGAAGCAGACAAATTTCCCATGTTAATTTCAGCGTGAAGAACCACTTTGATATTAACATTGAAAATTACAAGCTGATTTTACAGCATTTTCCAACCTCAGCACGAAGAAAATGCAACAAGTCCTCCTAAAAACCCCCCACTGATCCCACACACTTAAAGAAATGATGTGGTCGGCATAGTCATCATATGGCTTGAAGAATAATATCCTTAGATGCTTTTATTATGGTCTTCAAGATTCATGTTTTCAAGCTTTTCCTCCAAAACCAGGGAGGGCTAGAAACTTTATTTCAAAAACTTGATAGCCAAGAGTCTCACCTAATTATGTGGACTGGGGCTTCAATGGGAGAAAAAAAAAAGGGGGGGGGCAAAGAAAGAAAAGGAATGCAGGCATACAGAAATTTGTGTTAAAAAAATATGATCACTGGCAAAACTTTACTTATTGTCCCAAACTTCTTGCTTTTTTACTTTCTCATTGGCTCTGTGGATGAATGCATTTCCCCCTCAAAATCTGTGCTGTAATCCTGTCCTCTAAACTGTTTTTTTAAGTGTTAAGGGAGTGGAAGACCACTAGAAAGTTGCCTCAATAGGGAAAGAAAGAAGAAGAAGAAAGAGGGAAAATGTGAATGCAACAGAGACAAGCCCTTGGGTGGAGAAGGAAATAACAGGGAGGGGGGAAACTAAAAAAAAATAAGGAGGAAAGAGAAAAAATACAGGAAAGGGGAAGAAAAGTGGGAGAAAGTAGAGGAAAGGGGTAGGAACATATAGGAAAAGGGAGAAAAGGAAACGTAGGAAAGGGGGGAAAAGGAAAAATACATGAAAGGAGGGAAGGAAAATAAAGGAAAGAGTGAAAGGGGGAAGGAAGATAAAAGAAAGGGAGAAAAAAGGAAAATAAAGTGAGGCAAAGAAAGGGGAGTGAAGGAAACTAATGGGGAGGTGAAAGTAATGGGGGGCTGGCAATGCAACTCGGGGAAAAAACCAAAACTAAGGGAGCGGGCGGTGTGATACTGATAGCAACGAGGGATGGTTTTAAAGTAAAAAATGAGAGATTTAGATCAGATTCAGAGAAGAAATTCTTGACCTTAAGGGTGCTCAGACCCTGGCACAAGGTGCCCAGAGCAGCTGTGGCTGCCCCGGGATCCCTGGCAGTGCCCAAGGCAGGCTGGGCAGGGCTGGGAGCAGCCTGGGACTGTGGAAGGTGTCCCTGCCCATGACAGAGACATTGGATGGGCTTTGAGCTCCTTTCCGACCCAAACCACCCCGTGATTCTGCGGCCAAAAAAAAAAAAAAAAAAAGGTTTAAAAAAGAAGGCGGAAAGCCTGGAGCTCCGTTGGCTCGGAGGAGAAGCCGCGGGCACGGCTTGGCCCCCCCGGGCTGTGTCCAAGGCAACGCCGCGGCCGCGGGCGGCTCGGCCGGGCCCGTGCCGGTGTCAGTGCCGGCCCAGCGAACTCAGGCTCGGTACCCCGGGGCTCCAGGGACGTGCCGGTGTCGGCCCAGCGGGATTCGGGCTCGGTTCCCCTCGACCCGGGCTCCGCCTCGGTGCCGGTGCGGCTCTCGGTGCTCAGCATGTCCCAGAAGTGAGTAGCCCGGGGCTGCAGCGGGGCTGAGGGCGAGGATCCCCTCAGAGGGCTGGGACACGGCCCGGGGGGAGGCGGGTGTGTGCATCCACAAAGCGACCGCGTCCTCACAGGAAAACCGGGCAAATGTTAACGTTATTCACTCAGACCCTTTGTGCAAAAAGTTCCTCTCTCTTTACTGTTCGTGAGAATCTCCTCAGAGGGGTTGGACACAGCCCAGGGGGAGGCAAGTGGGTGCTCCCACAAAGCCACCGCATCCTCTCAGGAAAACCAGGCAAATGTTAAAATTATTCACTTGGACCCTTTGTGCAAAAGGTTCCTCTGTCTTACAGCCCACTGTTAGTGAAAATCGCCTCAGAGAGGGGTGAGGAGACACAGCCCGAGGGGAGGCGAGTGCACCCCACAAAGCCACCGCATCCTCGCAGGAAAACCACTTAAATATTAACATTATTCACTCAGACCTTAGTGCAAAAGGCGTCTCTCTCTTTACTGTTCGTGAAAATCGCCTCAGAGGGGTGAAACACAGCCCGAGGGGAGGCGGGTGCACCCCACAAAGCGACCGCGTCTGCTTAGGAAAACCGGGCAAATCTTAAAATTATTCACTCAGGCCCTTTGTGCAAAAGGTTCCTCTCTCTTACAGCCCACATCGTGTCTTGTTGCCCCCCAGTAATTTTAGCACAGTGCAAAGCTTTATGAGTTTGTCTGCAAAAAATAGACAATGACAGCATTGGATCCAAGTGCCTGCAAAGAGCTGTGCTCATTGCCCCAGAAACATCACTCCAAGCCCAGCAAGTATTATTATTATTATTATTGTGCTGCAGGGCTGAGAGCTAAACTGTGAGCATCTTCCGTAATGTTATCCCTCACTGTTGTGCTGTTTGCTGCTCCCAGCTCCAGCAGCACAGCCCAGTTTGTGGAGGCTCTTTTTCCCAGTTCCAAGCTGGGTATGGCTTATTCAAGTTCACTGAATAATTGTGCATTAGTAAAAGCAAAATAGAAAACACCTCGAGGTGATTTTGCTACCTCCTTCTGCTCCTCTCCTTTACACCCAGACCTGACCATATCCAAACTGCAGGTTGTGAGCAAAGCCTTTCCTGGCATCTTTCCCATGGTCTCCCTCCTCTGGCATCAGTGGTACCAACCTCAAAGCCCACTGCTTCTTTTGCCCAATATCCCATTTCCCAGCTCACAGCTTTTTGCCAGGGAAAATGCCCTCAGATTCTAAACCATCCTTCCAAATTCAGAACCAGAGCAGCTCTCCTTGTCACCAGCACCTTGGGATTCATAGAGCTATTAAGGATGGACAAGATTGCAAAATCACCAAATCCAACCATCAAACAAAACATATCATTAAATGCCACATCTGCTTCCAGGGATGGTGACTCCACTGTTCCCCCTGGGCAGCCTGTTCCAATGCTTAACTACTCTTTTCAGTGAAAAACGTTTTCCTTATAACCAATCTGAACCTTCTTGGCTTAACTTGAGGAGATTTCCTCTTATCCTAGTGCTTGTTGCTGGGAAAAGAGGCTGAGCCCCAGCTGACCACAACTCTCTTTCAGGCAGCTGCAGAGAGCAATAACGTTTCCCCTGAGATAGTTTTCTCCAGCCTTCTTTTCTCCACTCTTGCCTCCACACATTGGCAGAGCCAGACACCAGTGAAAACTCCACTGCTTTCCAGCCAGGCAGCTCCTTGGTTCAGGAGAGGAAGGTGAGAGGAATGAAGAACAACATCCCCAAGGGCAGGGCAGAGAAGGTCTGGGAGCTGTGTCCAAGGACAGACCCATCTCAGCCTGCAGTTGGAGGAAAGCTTGGTTAGATCCCTAGTGGATCCAGTGCAGGGCTTGTATAAATCCTGCCTAACACTCTCATGGAATCAGTTAAGTGAAGTTCACAGGGTAGTGGAGAGTTGTCTGAATTGTGCTCTTTAAAAGGGAAAAAAAAAAAAAAAAGAAAAAAGAGATAAAGGAAGAAAGAAAAAAAACCCCACAAAAGCAGTGTTTGACCTCTTCTTCAGAGTTATCTCAGAATCTGTCATTCCTACCCAGTCTCTGGATCATGGCTGCTGTTATTTGAGCCAGATTAACACCAAAGGAGTCAAACTGAGCATAGCTGGAAAAATACTTGTGCTTCAACTGATTTGCCTTGGTTTAATTTTCAGAGAGACAGGGCTTTTAGCATTTCCTATGGCATTGCCAGCACTGAACAGCAAATCCATATAACAGGATCATATGCCCATGCCCCATGACAAGAGCACACATCCACTCCTGTTTCTGAGCAAGGTGCTGCTCAGGGACTCCAGTTTGGTGTTGAACCCCCTTGGCTCAGGTTGCTGTAATGGCACTGTAGCTGTGCACAGCACAGGATTTACAGCTGGGCTAATCCAGCCCTTCCTAAACATGAGCTAGAGCTGGATCTCAAAGGCTACTGTTAATGTGGTTGGTTGCAGTGAGGTTATGCTGGCTGTGCACCATAAATCAGAGTTGTTTAGGTTGGAAAAGCCATCTGAGATCATCCAGTCCAAGCCTTAACCCAGCACTGCCAAGGCCACCACTAACCCAAGTCCCCAGGAGTCACATCCAAATGGCTTCTAAATCCATCCAGGGATGGGGACTCCACCACCTTCTTCTTTCCATGAAGAGATTTTTGCTGATATCCAGCCTGTCCTGTATCTTCCCAGTAGCTAAACTGGGCTGACAAGAAGGCTGGAGAGGGACTTTTCACACACCAGGTATAAAATAATAGGACAAGGAGGAATGGCCTTAAGCAGGAGGGCAGGTAAAGATGGGATATTGAGAAATTCTCCCCTGGGAGGGCGGGCAGGCCCTGGCACAGGGTGCCCAGAGCAGCTGTGGCTGCCTCTGGATCCCTGGCAGTGCCCAAGGCCAGGCTGGATGGGGCTTGGAGCAGCCTGGGACAGTGGGAGGTGTCCCTGCCATGGCAGGGGGTGGGATGGGATGATCTTTGAGCTCCCTTCCAACCCAAACCATTCCATGATTCTGTTATTCTACAAACCTTCCCTGGTGCAACTCAAGGCAACTCAAGGTGCTTTAAATGCTATGTGACAAAAATGACTTCCAACAGCCTGCCTTACCTGAAGGCAGCCAGACAAAGAGACAATAATGCAAGGGGGTTATGAGAAAGAACTTTGGTTCTTCAGAAATAGAAATGCTACATAGCTTTCCTGGTTCTGAGGCACGTTCACCACCCTCCAGGTGCTGTGATTCTCAGAGGTGTGGGCTAAAGCAGCAGGTTTAATTCCCCTGCCTCAGGAAGCTGTGTCCGGGCAGGGAGGGAGCTCAGAGTCAGCAGTGCTCTCTTAGGGTCACTAAGTGCAGCAGGCAGCCAAGGGGGCAGTCAGCATGCCCCGACATGCCTGGGATTTTCCAGGGGCAGTCTCAGCCTCGGGAGGGAACAGAGCCATCAAGTGCAGGGTGATTAAAAAGTGCTGGGGTGTCTCACTTCCCAAAGCACTCAGCCCCAGCATTTGCATGCAGATGTACCTTCTGTTCCAGACACTGGAGATTCACAGAGATGCTGCTGCATTTATGTTTTCCTGCTGTTTCCTCCTCTTTTATGGATGTGTTTACCCTCTCCTTGACCCCTGGGATCCTGACCAGTGATTTCTTACCTTGCCCCTGACAGCCCTAGCCCAGACACGTTCAAAGCCAAGCCTTGGCACTGCTACCACTCCTGCCAGGTTTTAATCAGCTACAAGACATTTGCCACTGCCACCAAGGAGCTTTAAACAATCAAAGCGCTTTAAAATTTAATCTCGTGTCACAAATAGAATTTATATTAATTCACTGGTTAAATATTGATCTAAGACAAGATCCTGAGCATCTCCCTCCCTGCTTCCAACAGAAACAGCCAAAGCAGAGCTCTCTGTTTTACATCACATCCCCGAGGCTCAGCTGAAGAAAATTAAGGTTGCAACACCCAAATGTGAAAAAATGTCAGTGCAACTTCTGATCCCCCCTGCTGTCCCCCCTCACGTTCTGTGGCTGCATTACGATGCAGTTTCTGATGCTGTGATCACATCCTATTCCCTTCCCACGGGGCCCCAGCCTCATGCAGCCATTGGCCCGTTGTTGAATATTTCTTTTTATCCCCTCATTCAGCGTCTGGCCTCGGGCCATATTCTTCAAATTCCAACCAAACGCCACAATTATTAGCTTCCTCCTGGGCATTCCTTGCATGTTCTCTCTCATACATCTCCCAGGCAGTCACAGATTCATCTTTGCCCCTCTTTCCACCCCTGGTGAGCATTAGCACATCGTCTTGCTTATGTTAAAGCAGGAAATCAGAGACAGGATCAAATTGATCACAGCTAAGACTCAAAGCTACAACTCCCTCCTGTGCCTCCCTTCATCCTTAATGAGCAGGTAGGGAAAGATCTTGTGTATTACTCCTTCAGTGTCTCCTCTGGGAAAAAGCATTGTCAGTGGAAATATCCCAGCAGCACTTGTGCAGGAAAACAGGTAAAGAAAAGGCTCCAGTTTTCCAGGAAACTGAGTAGATCCTGCTCCTGGCAGGGATAGGGCAGCACCCAGCCCTTTATGCATGGAATTGTAGGCAGCTGGATGGGTAATTTCTCCTTCCTGGCCTAAGGAAGAGAGGGGTAAAAGGAAGATGACACAGGATGGTTAAAGCTGAAATAAACTTTGTTGTCAGAAGCAGTGAAGTGTGTTACAGGCAAATACTGCTTGGAAGGAAAAATTCTGCTTGCAAAGGAGAAGAGGCTGCTGTTCATGTAATAACACAGAATAGTTTGGGGTGGGAAGGGACCTTAAAGCTCACCTCCTGCCATGGGCAGGGACACCTTCCACTACCCAAGGCTGCTCCAAGCTCCATCCAGCCTGGCCTTGGACACTTCAGGGATTCAGGGGCAGCCACAGCTTCCCTGGGCACCCTGTGCCAGGGCCTGCCCACCCTCATAGGGACAAATTTCTTCCCAATATCCCATCTATCCCTGCCCTTTGGCAGTGGGAAGGCATTCCCCC